TCCAAGTATGCTATAAGTCTCTCACGAAAATTTGGATCTTGAACCTTTTCCTTCATGTCAGTTGGTTTTATATTGATATCGAGTCGGGGTGGGTGGGGGTGGGTGAGGGTGAGGGTGTGGGTGTGAGGGTGTGAGGATTATGTCTGATTGAGGGTGTGAGGATTATGTCTGATTGAGGGTGAAGGTTATCGATCAGAATGAACGCATAGGGCATAATCAGCATGATTATGCCTTATATGTCCTATATGCATGATCTCATAAAAGTCTGTAGTATCGTTACTATGTTTTTTCACGGATTGCAGTTTCCTTATTCCATGTTTGTGTCAAAAATGGATTTCCCGGAAAACGCTATAACGCATCAAGTCCTTTTTTCTTTCGTGTTATTGATGTGTCGTCCTTGATACTAGAAATATAATCAGACTTGAAGTATTAAAAGCTTAACAGCAAAAAAATTAATTAATCATAAAAATAATCGATTTTCTGACTTTATAAGGAAAACGATTTTATTCAAAAAACGAATAGATATACAAAAGAACGCAACATGCATCTCCGTACTCTTTGTACACTAATAGTATTAAATCTTGTTCCATGCCTAGTTGCGTCGGCACAACTGTCAGAGCAACACAATGTTTCTTCATTTGCCTGTCCGAATCTCTATAGCATGCTGTTCTACCCACGTACAACAAAAAATATTACTGTTCTGAGTCTTCAACCACTTAAAGTCCAAATTGACTACGAAATTCATGGGCCTACATCGACACATTTTGTATCCATTCAAGGTATGATCTGTGACAACGGTTTCAATCAACAGGCAGCCAATGCAGTGTGTCAGTCAATTGGTAAGAATTATGCTGCTTACGTACCATACATTCATTGGAGTGAAGGACCAACTGATCGATGCCAGTTCACAATGGATAGCGACTCTGCAGTATATGTACCATGTGCATTCGTGTCAGTTAATCTAAGCTGTTTAAATGATGCAAAAAGCCTGACAGAGTGTAGTCAATCCACTCTTTCCAAGCAAGAATGTACGTCAGACAGACACATCAGTATCCTCTGCTCCTCATTACCACAAAAAACAACAACAGCAACAGCTATAACGACTATTACCACTTCTACATTTAACCCTCTAACAAACCAATGCTCATCGTATATATCAATTACAGATGGTCGACGCAGAGCAACTCAGGGCACTTCAAACATTTGCGACAGAGGGTATCCGTTTAATGCTTCTGAAGATGGTTCTTGGATAAGATTCATGGGTGCAGCCGGAACTCGGTTAATCAGTAGTCCGATAGGTACTCAAAAATGCGGCACATCAATAACCGGTTGGTATACTGGTTCTCATCCAACGATACTTGGAGAAAATGTCACTGGTAGGGTGTGTTTTGAGTGGTTGGACGGAAAATGCCAATATTCTAAGTCCATCCAAATTACAAAGTGCGATGATTACTTTGTCTATTTATTACCCAGAGTGCCCGGATGTCATATGGCATATTGCACAGAATAGGGGGAAGAATTAATCAAGAAAGTTATACTAAAGCCTGTATTGGGTGAACACTGGCACTTTTTTTTCTATTTTTATCTTCGTATTTATTTAACAAATAAATTCTTGGGTGAGGGTGAGTTTGAAAATAAGCTTAAAAAGAAACTTTAATCAGAAATCTTCTCATTTGTCTACGATTCAATCCGATCGAATTCATTTAAGGTATCCACAGTGATATGCTCAGATAAGTACGAAAAACTTATCTAAAAAGATCATGAAATCAAAGCAGGACTCGAGCCCACATCTTCCGATGACCGGTCTGAGGATATTGGCTGAATACCACTTTGCACTTAGGATCACCTCATATTTGAATGCTCTTCGTGTCCCTTAAGGTTTGCTGGGATTATAGTCAGTTTCTTTGGTCTCATGTGTTGAAGTCATCTTCTTATCATACATCTGGTTTTACTAGTACCCTCAAGATACAGTCTTCATGTATCTGAGCGCTGCTTATTCTCACATGATTGTTTGATACTACGCACATGCATAGTGAAACTAATTAACCGGTTTCGACCTTGCTCACAGGTCTCATCAGATGGCTTCAAAATGTATCTGGATCAGTAGGTAAGATTATATTGTTTATGAATACTCCTACTACTACCAGCTAATATGAGCTGGCAGAACCGGTTTTGTTGCTGTCTCACTCAAGTCGATCATTTCTCTTTCCCCCATCTCTCTCTCTCTTGCTCTGGCCCTTAACATTGATTCTGTTCTAATATCATTTTCTAATTAACTATGAATAAATAACGCTCGTCGAGGGAGACTCGCATTACCCTCGACTGATTGGGTTATACTTCAGATAAAACTTGCGCTTCCAAATGATGTCTCGAGAACGGTCCTCGTTAATTTCAATCTTTTTCAAAACTAATCAAAGAACTGTCATCGTTCTTGTTATTTATGTAATGTCCATTATTCATGATCATTTTTCACACATGAAACAACAGTCCGCCATGAATAGCTACTATGATCCTTGCGTCTTTTACTAATGCGAAACTAGAAATTTCGATTCAACTATTTTTGCAGTCTTTTCTTTCAATTATTTGAATACTCGACTGTTTTCAAAACTCTTCTGTTCATCCTCACTGAAACGATGTCCCTTCAGAACCCTTTTACTCACTCGCAAGTATACGAATACTCGAATAATTGAACGGAAGGGTAGACTGTTGAATTTAAATTTCAAACTACAGATATTTGGTAGTATGACAATCTAATTATGATTTTATACTTTTCCTCTTCTCTCTTTCTCTTCCTCTTCATATACAACAATTATCTGCTTTCTTCCTTCCTATATGAACTTCGACATTAGCCTCTTAATCCATATACCCAACACAGAGATATTGACAGATTTATCTCTTCTTAATATTTAACATTCATCTGATATTAATATCAGAAATGCACTCCTATGTACGACTGTTTCTGCTCTCTGCGTTTTGAAAAGACTATGATCGCATGATCATCTGGCTCATCAGCTCATTGTATGATAGCGATAGATCTTAGATAGTATTTATAAAGCTTGATATTTTTCTGTAGCATAATACTGTATGTACTGAGAACTATGAAAGGACGAGGAACATACAGTAGAGATTCGATTTGTTTCGATTCAATACAGGATACACTTATCATATATTATCTCTTGCATTATAGATCATCACAGGCATCTTCAAACTAGGA